AATATATATGCCAAAATTTTCGCTAGCAGAAGGTGCCGGCCAAAGTAAATTCAATTCTGAACTGTTAGTAAAAAAATATTAAAAACGGATCAAAGAATTTCATGGCCCACAACACAACATTTTCAATGGACCGTTTTGTGCGTCTATGGAGAAGATTATGAGTTATGGTATTTCAGTGAATACGCGTATAATAAGATGTCTATGAGCGATCTCTGATACTGTGGGGGCAATTATTTAAGAGTGCCTAAAACATTCCATTTTAATTTCTACGATTCCCAAGTGCCCATAAAATAGTCTTTTGATGAAAATCGTGTTATAAAATGTCATAATATTGAAACGATGCGGTTATGGCCAATTATCATTTCAATTATGTGAATGTTTGGCCGGGCAGATATTTTAGCTATAAACTTTCGGCACTTTTGATCATACGCAACACATAGGTAATATGTTCTTCGTACAAAAGAATATGTTTAAATTTTCTTATTTTTAGTTTACTTTTTGTGATAGTAAGCATTACATATTTATTTATTTTCAAAAAATATTAAACCGTCACTTTCACATTGATTTGTTTTTCTTATTGTTTTCAATCCCATCCATAAAGTTTGCCAACTTAATGATGGCAATTTGAATGTTCTTTGATGTAAAAGCACAAATTAAAGGCCTTAAAAGTTGGGGGAATCACACGCGAATGTATTTTCAAATGTCTGCGGTGCACGTTTTAATACCTGTCCGACGATGGCATTCACGCGGCAGCATCTACCAAATCCAAAACACCGAATGAAAACTTGGCCGCAACGAAAACAAACTTAAGTTGCCGTTCGCAGCCGTGGTGAATTTCTCGAGTGCACAGTGGGCCAGTCAGCATTTTTACGTGTTCAAATTTTATTCTGTTAACATATTTAATATGACAATGCGGAAACGATATATGATGTATAATGTAATGTACTATGATGTACAATGTAGTTTTTATTGGGTATTTTACTAAGATGGTAAAAATGCAAAAAGGTAGAAGAACTTCAAAAACGTAATACATTTACGTTATTTGTTGAGAATTTTTAAAATCCTTTTAAAAGCCAATAATAAGGTCGGGAAAAAAAACACAAGACTATTCGCTGCTTAATCTGAAAAAATTTAACCAGTAGATTACGACCCCAAACGTATAATCTCTCCTTCTTCTTCTAGTTCTTTAGTAAATGGGCTTTTTCTCAATTTTTCATCTTTGGTAGCCAAGATTTTTCATATGTTGTGTGTCTAGTCTTAACAAGGAAAATATAAAGCTACTGTACATGACAAAAAGTAACAATTTCAGGAATATTTTGGTTCTGGGGTTCGAATAGTTCAGCGTTTATTAAGCGGTAAAAATGCCTATTAACCGAAGATTTATCACTATTTTTTTTAAACCTGTGACGTTATGGGAAGTTTCAAAGTTTGTGGTCGTAATATAATCTGGCGTTTAGTCTTGGGCCAAGAAAAAGATCGGATTTTGTCGACCTGTGTAATTTATGTTTTAAATTAAGTTAAGTTTAATTTTTTTCTAAAGGATGTTTTTGTCCATAAAGCAATTTTTACGCCCACCGTTGTGTGGTGTAATTGGTGGCTGTTTCGAATTTTCGAACTTTGTTTGTTAAAGCGTCGATTTAGTTTTGACACGAAATAAATTTTATCCCTTTATGTAAATAAATAACTATACATTACAATCGTAATTTTGTGTTTTTTAAATCTGGAAATTACACTGAATGATAAACAGTTCAATAAATTATTATCATTAAGGAAAATGCTTTCAGCTAACATAACGTGTAATTTTATTATGATGTGTAAAAAATATATATTTCCTACCCTTAACACGTCGTAATTTACTGATTTGTTTTAATTTTATTCAAAGCCTTTAGACTTTTAAAACTCACCATTCGGATACAACATGGTTGCGGGAGTGGTTGCATTGCACTTGGAACTTTAACGTGCAACAAATGTTTCCTTGTTTCCAACATATTTGAACATGACTTTATTAACATTTCAAACAAACAAGAAATATATATGATTTATATAAAATGTATATTATAAGTACCAAAGCTAAAGTTTCTCTAGCGTACATACATCATATTTAAGAACTTTAAAATCGAGGTCGGAGTTGAGTGCGGATAGAATTTCTTCGAAAGGAACTAATTCTCTAATGGTCATTCGAATTTTGCGGGTTTGCTTAAGTCGCGCTTGAATTGTTATATCAATTTGCTGATGTGCATGCAAAACTACAGGGACCATTTGACACACTTTCTTCGAACAAATGGAGAATGTCCACTCGCACACCCCACATTTACTCATAAAAATTCGACTTTATTACTGGAATGCTTCAAGCATTTTCATATTTTAAATCAAGCTACAAGGGTTTCTACCACAACCTTCTAGTATTTGTTGCACTAAATCAACGTACAAAACCATTCATAAAGAAATACAAACATGCCAACATGTAGGTATGGAAAACAATAAGACGCCTTTTCTGATTGACACAGATAAAATGAATAAAATCACATTGACGATGGTGACATGGATACAGGGTTTTCAATGTGAAACAACAAGTTGAAAGATATGATACACCAAGAATTGAAATTAATAATAAGAGGTTTATATTCAAGAGCAGCTTATATTAATAATGCAGGTAAGAAACGAATATACCACATTCATACTAATGTAAAAATATTCTTTATATTTTTTCAGTTACTTACTACTTACAAAACAAACCCAAGATTAAACAAAAAATTCAAAAAAAAATTTACGTATAATTTGTCGCTCAGCTCCAAAAAGTATGCAATTACTTTATTTACTTTTATATCCTGATGTTAGGTAACATTATCGAAACTTATAGAAATTAGGAAGGTCAAGACTATATAGGGCTAAACAAAATTGCGATGACAATACCATTGTAGACAACTATCAAAAAACCTGTAAAACAAGTCCATGATAGTGGCATACTTCTTTCTAATTTTCCAATTAGCCGAGGCCGCAGTTTTTCGTTTTTAGTGCCAAAACTGAAAGCATTATGTTGATAAAATTTGGGCTGAGGCTCCTGGAATTGCGTGCTTGACTGCGTGACTTTTTTCGAAACTCACCCACTTTCACACGGACGTTTTCCATCCAGACGTTATGGAGCATAGAGTATAGAGGTCTCCTTGAAACGCGGTTGGTCACGAAAGCGAACAACAAAGAAAAGGCTTGCCCGTCATTTAAGGCAACATTTAATGGCCACTGGCTATAAGGCTATAAGGCTATAAGGCTATGGGGCTCATCCTGAATAAACAGGGGATGGTGGGTGCGTGTGTATGGGAGCTGGAGTTGACGTTCGTTTGTGAAAACGAAGAAAGTGATTAAATCAGCACGATATTTTGTAGGTGTGCGCGAGTTCACCCATTAAATTTCTCCCCTCTGCGGTGGTATGTGTGCTCGGACACGTAGGTGTGCACACCCACACCCGCACACCTGCACATTGAGCTACTGTTCTAAATTGACTTTTCGCCTGGACAAAACTAAAAATGACGACATCGCGTTTTTTTCGTAGAAAAGCTTTGCCTCTAAACATGCCCATCAACCGCGTGTTTATAAACAACACAGATCTTTTACCTACCTACATATAAGCATGGTATATATGCGGAATATATAGAAAGGTGTGCTGGGCCTCATATTACACTCCCACATGCATGTTCGCACATATGTATGCAGTTACCAAATATATGAACACGTTAATGTAATTAAACCTTAAGGCTGGATATAAGTAACCCGGGTGATTTATTATTTGCGATATTACTAGGCAGTTATAAATCAACTTCTTTATGACTGTAACTTATAGAGATTATTTTGAATTTAATTTATTATGAATAAATACTTCACAAGAACTGAATGGAATAAGCGACAAACGGTATGTGATTAAAAAATAAAAGGGTTTTCGTAAGACAATAAGACAATTTGGGAGGATTGTCCAATAAACACTTTAGAATTTTCAAAAAGCTACGTTTAATTTTTTTTTACCATCAAATCAGTAAGTACTTTAACTTATCGATATTATTTTAAATGTAATTTATTATGACTAAATACTTCTCAATAACTGAATGGAATAAACGACAAATAGCGTAATTCTTAAAACTAAACTGTTTTCGTAAGGCGACAAGACATTTTGGTTAGATTGTCCAATAAAGACTTCACAGTTTTCAAAAACCGACGTTTAATTTTGTTACCATCCAATCACTGACTCTTTGGCTTAAATTAACTTTAACAATATATGGAATTAACCATGGCAGGTCAAAGTTTATGTGTTCAAATGAACATAGGTACATCGCAGTCAAGACCTGCTTTATAAAATACTCACACAAAACCACTATCGAGGGGATGTTTACATACATTCTACTCGAATTTCGCCCAAAGAGATTTCCGTGTCCCGCCCGGGATCTACATAGATTATAGAACTAAGCCCTGCAGTACCACTCATCGTAAAAAGACCATCAAAAAAGCGGTCTTTCAATAGTGATATTGTCCGAAAAGTGGTGATGATTTTAACATTAGCAGGTCCTAAGATTCGACGCTCTACAAAACTGGCACAAATTCATCACCTTTTCAGCTCCTTTTTAGCAATAAAAAAGCGCTTCTTTAATATTTGGGGTTAATAAAAAGCTACATGTAAAAGTTACAATTTTTGTGGTTAGATAAACCGTCAACTTTTTTATAATGATAAACACCTCTTGCTAAGAAAAAATAACTTAGTTATTGAAAAACCTAGAACATTTCACTTATGTATTGTTTTAATGAGATCTTCCCGATTATTAAACTTCTTTGCAATTGAACATTAAAAGGAATACCCTTAAGAAAATGTATTGGTGGTGCATACTGGAAGCTTACTTTTAGAAACACTGTTAAGAGGTTTTAAACCTCTATAGATATATGTGGCATCCCCCATAAGTTCAGGAAGACTACCCTTGTTGTGACTCAAAATTCAGTTCAATGTTCGCGAGTCACTGGTTCGCGCGTTTATCGATAGGCAATGTTTTGGTTCTGTTTGTCTTCGGCATAAAATACTTTTCATGCGGATTTTACGACAATTTAAAAGCATTCTACGTTTGGCAAGTTGTGAATGTTATAAGTTAGTGGATTATTAAACTAATGCAATTGAAAGAACAATCTGAAAAACAGTGTATTTGTAATAAGTGAAACAGTGGGCGCACGTGTTGATTTACTTGTTGTTGTTACACTTTTAGCGGTGCGTAGACTTACCAAGTCGGCAGCAAATCAGCGGTTGTAAACAATTCTCGTGGTTGTCGAAAATGCAAAGCCCCAAACGCCTGCGAAATGCACAGACCCAGCACGGAGATGCCTTATCGGTGGACGTGGAGAACATATTTCTGCACCGGTTCATGTTGTCCACAAACCCAACCCTAGCATCTACTACAAACGAACAAGATCAGTCCTCCAAATGTGTGTGGTATCCAGATGATACGACTGCAGATCCTACAGACCACACAGATCCCCCGGTAAGTAGGGTTTTTAATACATTTATTTGTATCTCCTTGACCATATCCAAATTGTTTGTAGTGAAATTGTACAATGTACACTGTACATATTAAAAATGTATCTCTTGACAAAAAAGTTAAAATAGTTAATGGTTCAACATAGTATACATTTTGTATCTTTTATATTCCACTGATCAGTTTATTCAAACCCTTCATGTTTTATAATTGTGATCCAGGTGCGTATAACATCATTAGACATAGGAATACATATAAGCGAAAACCTGTTCTAGACAATCGAACCCAAGCAATCTTGGATTAAAGTTAAATTCGTTGGCTAAATTCATAGTAAAAAGCAATGATTACTGAAATACTTTTTATTCTGACCAAAGTTAGTTAGATTTAACTATACGGAATCCGTTGTGCATTTGATCCGATGTCTGTTAATCACCATGATCTGATAATTACATATGTATATCAAGTAAATTGTACATGACAAACTTAATAGTTGTACCTTTGTATATATAGCATTAGTTTAAAAGTTGTACCTTTGTATATATCACATTAGTTTACAATAAATTTTCTTGGAAATGCCCCAAGAAGAATGATGTTAGTTTCTGGTAAATTTGACCTCTAGATCACAAAAAAGAAGTAAAACTAAGTTCTTTAAAGATTTTTTTTAAAGAAATTTTTTATATATCCGTGTTGTTAATTTTATTTTGAGTTGCGCCTAACCAATTTAATTTTGCCTCATAAATGATCATAAATGCATTGAGTATATTGTGAGCTAAAAAAAAAAATTTTTTTTAACTTCGTTTTTGTGAAACAGGGTTCCAACCCTAAAAGGAACTACCATCATCCTTCTTGAAGCGTTTTGGCTGTAAGCTAGAGTAATTTTAAACTTAACACTTAGCTGTTTATTTCTGTGGTTACAAATGAAATATTTAAAACCATTCTTGCGTTTCACCCGATACTTGAAACATTCAAATCGTGTATGTTTACCGTGGCTCCCACTCCATTATTAATTCCCATTTGTTTACCAGTTTTATCGCGCTCAGTCAGCGAGGAAGCCGCACTAGCGACCAACTCTCTAGCTTTGACCGATTCGCAGCTAGTAAAAGGGCATATTTATCTTGGGGGAATCGAATACCCAGCACAATTTAGACGGGTCTGTTCGCAAATGTGTGGATTCCTGTCCTAACTTATGCAGTATTATTGGTGTCTGGGGAAATTTCAGTGCAGCAGCTTCAATCGCACACTTAAAACTTAATTAAAAATCTAATCAGGGACTCGCCAATGCAATTTGGTGCATTAATTTAAACAATTAAATTCAAATTAATTAGGGGTCAATTTCAGGCACCAATGAAATAATTGGATTCAGCTTAAGGTTAACGTGTATTCTTGACTTCCGTGGCTAACAGCTTTGAAATTGTGTATAATTTATTAAACATGTTTGTCCGCAACTAAAAGAGTTGCTGTCGCATTTAAAAGTGGTGGGTTGAAATGAGTATAACTCGATGCATAAAGCAAGGAATTTCAAAAACCCTTAGGTAAAATTCCAAGTAGTTACCGATTACCAAAATTAGTGGACAAATAAGCTTACAAAACTTTTAATTTGACTTTGTGACACTATTTTAAACATTGTTGCGGACCTGCCACATATTCGTGAGCCAAAATAGGTTTATTTCAGTTTTATTCTATTATCTTAAAGTTTCAAAGTCGTAAACATGGGTATAAACATGTGGTGGATGAAAAAGCAGGCGGGTACCTGGAGATTTAAACTTCTTTTACGAGACTTTGAGTCACAAATGCCCCAATAAACGAGACTGCAGTGGCTGCAGAGTCAACGTTCTGGCTGCATAGAAATTTAAAGCCACCCTTAGGCGTCAGGACATTCTTAAAAATTTAGGGCTCTGCTAAGATGTGCAACAAAAACCAGATTTTAGACAAAACCCTTAATGGCCCACAAAAACCAAGCATACAAGTTTCGGGCCCTTTGTTTGTTGGCTTTTACCTAACCGTACGTGACAGTGGCAAATGGCCTTAAATATGCCGGCGATTATTTAGCTTTAGTTTACGCTTGAAGCAAGCCCATTTTTATTTCACTCGCTAATTAAACAATCAATAAACCAAACTCCGGGGGTCTATGGATCCGTGTCATTCAGATTTACATAGTGTACACAAGACATTAAAGACCATGTGCGGAGGAGGATGGCGAGGGTGGGTTGAGATACAGTCGTTTGCTCACGCAAGGAGTTAAGTTATGTGTGGGACCAACTGGACGGACGGCGGGACTCGTTTCACTTACCTTCCGTATATTTCACCACGGATTTGTCATAATTAGTTCTCTCTCTCGACGACACGGCCTTTTCGGGGGGCCTCTGCGGGTTTCTAGTGTCCCGCCATCGCAGTGGTTTCCTAACGAGCTACTTTTGTCAAGTTGGTCTGCAGCTAGATGGTCGTGATGTTTCCGCAATTATTAGTGTCAGTGCCTTCTGCTTTCAGGCGGGTATCTAAGTGTGGTCCTCATTGTTTCCGCGATGCGCCTTTTGGGCCAGTCGTTTTTATAATTCTTACAATACCACGTAAACACACATTACAAAAACCGCCGTGGAAAAAGGATACTAGATGCATTAAAAAGGAAATCCCTCTAAGACTTGGTCTGGTGCAGTCCCTTTTCCATTCCACTGGCTGAAGAATTAAAAAGAAAGAGGGCTGTTTTTGGGTAAGTGGCTTAGTGGATCAGGCGCACACACATTACCATTTACTACATCTTACTTGCAAATACATGAGATCCCTGATAACATGAGTTGCTGGTTCGTGAACATTACGAAATGAAATAACTTTTATATTCTCCGGAGATTTGAGTTAAATGGTTGTTTAAATTTAAGTTAAAAATCATTAAAAGTCAGTTTCATTGTTATTTAGCGGACCACAACAAAGGTCATAAGCAAATTAAAAATTTAAAAAACATATTAGTGGTTTGAAAATGCCAAACCTCTAGTGAAATAGCGCCAAACCAACCGAATAACAAGGTTGCCACCTAGTGAATTAACGCTAGTGTGGCAAGGTAGCATGTTCTATCAACACGAGTGAGTGTGGACAAGAAGAAGAAGTAGTTTGTTTACAAAAATCGGCAAGTTAAATGTAAGTACAATGAAATTTCTCTTGATTGTTTATTTATTCCGGCAATTGTTTTGTAGGGGAAAGCATAGGACAGTACAGCAGGATGCGATTTTCCTGAAGTTTATGCAAAGTCACAAGGATATCGCAAGGGCATCCTCTCGTGCCAACAGACTGGAAACGAGTTTGGCCTGGGCAGGTCTTTCTCAGGCTCTCAACGCAGTTGGCCCGCCATGTAAATCTGATGAGGACTGGCGCCGGGTGAGTGATGTCACAGCCATGACTAATACCCGGTTCCTAAGATCATGCTCCCCTTACAGGTCTGGAAGGACTGGAAGTGCACAATCAAGAAGAAGACGGTCGATAGGGGCTGGCCACACAAACATGAACCAATGTCTTCTACGGAAGAAGCCCTCGCCTCTATCCTCCAGTTTGATAGGTTCGCAGAGGATGAGTCACAAAACAATTCGTTTGGTCCAGCCTTGAAAGAGGGCTCTAGCTCACATTTCGACTTGCGGGAAATGTGGGAGGAAGATCCCGACGATCTCTACACCTCGGCAAGAAACAGGAAGAAGATTAAAATGGAGTCCAGATATAGTACTAGCTCAAGTGAGGCTACGGGCTACAGGGAGCTAAGCTACAGGGCTTCAGGGAGCACCAAGAAGGTTAAGGTCAAAAAGGATGAATTGCAAGGAGAGGAACATGCCGACGATCCTTTACTAGAAAGACCAACAAGGAAGAGTAAAATCGTTCCAAAAATCAGTCAAAAACCCACCAAAGAAGAGACCTCGTCTGACAGTTTTGAGAATAGTGCATCCCTTAAGGAAATTGCCGGAGAGCTACGTGCACTCAATGAAACTACAAAGGCTGCAACAAAATCAATTATGTCTATGGCAGCTAAAATGTGCGAGTTGATGGAAAGAGGACTGGAGGAGCGACAACAGCACAATGCGTTGCTTAAGAAATTGTTGAATAACAGAAAATGAAAAAAATTAGTTTTATACGTTTTACTTTACTACCTCTGTAAACTATAGACCACCTTAACATAATTATGTTGCGTCACAACGGAACATTAAAAAAACGCCCACATCAACCGTGTATCCAACCTGTTTTTTTTTTTTGACTTCAGTCTATGTTTGCGACCTGACTGGAGCCTATTTGCTGGTAGACCAGTAACTAACAGAATACTGCTGGTTCGAAGCCAATTTTGCATTTTTTTTGTTCTTTTCCTTTGCAACAAGGAAAAATACACAGACTGTGAAAATTATGCTAAGGCAGCAGAAAGAAAAGAAGAAATTGTTTGCACAAACAAGGCTCGTATGTGCTAAGAGCTGATAAGAGTTTGGTCTACATGATGGCTTAAGCAATTAATGCTTTCGAATATTGTGCATCTTTGCGTGATAGTCATTGAACCCCTGACATCGACCACCTTTTTTTATTTGTGGTAAAATTATTGGAGATATTTTTACAAAAGAAAGCTTTTTTTAATACAAATTAGGATTGATTATTAAATTCGTTCGATTTTTTAACATCTAAAATGGTACACAAAGACCTCATTTTTAATCGGGAATTAAATTTTTTTTACAGATTTTGTTATCAGATGAACCGCTTGAAGTAGCACATTTACCAGAAAAACGAAAGGCTAACAACTCAGAAGACGAAAGCAATGCGAAAAAAGTAAAATTAGATGCAAATGGGCTCAAAACCAAACGTCCTGGATTCAATGAAGAAAGATACGAAGAAACTTCGTATTATTTTGAGAATGGTACTCCAAACTTTTTAGAAAATTGTTTTATTTATTTAATTTGTATTAAATATTTCACAGGACTTAGAAAGGTGTATCCATATTTTTTCACATTTACTACATTCGCCAAAGGGCGTTGGGTTGACGAGAAAATTCTGGATGTGTTTGTCCGTGAGTTTCGAGCTGCTCCTCCCGAAGAATACGAGCGCAGCCTGGAAGCTGGAAAATTGACTGTTAATTATGAAAAAGTGCCTAAGGACTATAAAATCAAACACAACGATTTGCTGGCCAATGTCGTGCATAGGTATGTATTTTTAGGAAACTTTAATTTAAATATGCACACATTTGTATTATAGACACGAAGTCCCTGTTACTTCACAGCCCATCAAGGTAGTGTACATGGACAAGGATATTGTGGTTGTGAATAAGCCGGCGTCAATACCAGTAGGTATTTTATAGATAATGAAAGCTACATTTTAATAAATCAAATTTAAGGTACATCCATGTGGGCGATATAGACATAACACCGTGGTTTTTATTCTGGCCAAGGAGCACAACCTAAAAAACCTGAGAACAATTCACAGACTGGATCGACTGACATCTGGTCTTCTTTTGTTCGGGCGCACTGCCGAAAAGGCCCGCGAATTGGAGCTACAAATCCGAACTAGACAAGTCCAGAAAGAATACGTGTGTCGCGTTGAAGGGCGTTTTCCGGAGTGAGTAAATCAAATTATACATTTTTTGCATCCAAATTTGTTTAATTGTGTGTATCTTGCATATCTTTGTAGTGGTATAGTTGAATGCAATGAAAAAATAGACGTTGTGAGCTACAAAATCGGTGTTTGTAAGGTTTCACCAAAGGGCAAGGACTGTAAAACTACGTTTCAAAGAATTGGTGAAGTGGGAGATGACAGCATTGTTTTATGCAAACCTCTTACAGGACGTATGCACCAAATAAGAGTACACCTACAGTATTTGGGTAGGCCAGCAAGTCACAATCCTTTGCCATCTTAATTACCTAATCCCCTTTCATTAGGCTATCCTATTTCAAATGATCCCTTATACAACCACGAAGTCTTTGGTCCCTTAAAAGGACGAGGAGGAGACATCGGTGGTATAACTGAAGAACAGTTGATCAATAACCTAATTACCATTCATAATGCCGAAAATTGGTTGGGTCTTGAAGGAGAAAAAGTCCCGACAACGGAAATCCAAAGTGAATTAAAAACTACTTCAGCAGTGAAGGTACCAATAGATACTAAAGCTCCGGAACCCGTAATTCCAGCAACAAACGAATCAATCAATGAAGTAAGACCGTAGAAATTTTAGTATATAATCGGATAAACACATAATTATTCTCAATTGACAGGCTGCCACCCAAACTTGCTATGAAGAACCAGACAGGTCTTTTGACTCAGAAAAGACAACTTCGGATCCGCATTGTTCTGAATGCAAAGTCAACTACAGAGACCCCGGCCCAAAGGATCTTATAATGTTCCTTCATGCATGGAAATATAGGGTCAGTTGCAAACTCTTCTGTTTTGTACTGCGCTAATTTAAAACCTTAACTCATTTACAGGGTGTCGGTTGGGAATACGAAACAGAACTACCGGAGTGGGCTTGTAAAACGACTATAAATTATGATCAGTTGTGAATCAATAAACTTGATTGACTTTTTAAACAATAAGTTGTTCTATTATATTCTTAGGGCTCGACAAAAATACGCAAAAATGTTACTGGCAGTAAATATATTTTTATTGGTAATCAATCTTTGCCTTTATTGACAAAATTTAAGTTGTTTAAAATGCTAGTATTATTGTGTGTTTTGTTATCTTTACCGATATCCTTTTCAAATCCTCACTTGCAAATGATCTTTGATATTAACCCTATATTTCTGGACCTTTATTTGGAACACGAAGATGTCCTCGTTGAATATTATTTGGCTTTGTGCAATACTTGTCCAAGAATGCCAACTGTTCTGGATTATATGGTGCGAGAACTTAATCTGAGCTCGCTGCTTACAATTGTTTCAGTTGATTGCAAAAAATATTCAACACATTGCCTCAGGAATAACATTACGCAATATCCGAAATGGGTTCGCATTGAACAAAGTAGACAGTTGACTGCTATTATGAACCCTGAAAGTCTTATTCAAGCACTAAATAAATATAACATTTCAGAAAACAATATAACTTTAGCCAGTCAAATGTTTAATGACACTTTATTACAATACGTAGAAGAGGATGTCTGCATACCTGGACAGGTTCTAAAACTAAAGTCAAATAATTTTTATTCCCTAATAAACAATGGAACCTTCTTTATAAAATTATATTCTCCAAGTTGTCCGTCGTGCATTGTGATGTTCGCAATTTGGAAAGAGCTCGCTTCGGAGTTGGTAAATGAAACCAAAGTTTGCATTGCAGAGTACGATTGCTCTACTGGAATGCAAATTTGCAAGGACTTGCAAATTGCACGGATCCCTTCTTTAATATGGTTTAAAAACGGAAAACGAGTTGAAAAATACAAAGGAAATCGAGAGAAAGAAGGGTTGAGAAATTTTGTGTCTGATATGATGACTGCTAAGAGCTCTCATTCTTCTGCTCATAATAAAACATTTTTGACTATTGCCAAATTAACGATGTTACTAAATTCATTGAGGTTTTATTTGCTACGAGAAAAATAAATTGTAATTTTAAAAGAGTTATGATATTATTTTGTTGACAGGGTTGCAATTTAATTTTAGAAATTGTAGCACAAGTGGATATTTTAAAATGTAAAAGTGATAACTAACGTTCGCGGGAGCGCCTCTTATGCCTATCGATAAATCGATTTTTATCGGGAGACCATAAAGTAGGAGCTGTGTCATCTCTTTCGGACATCTGGCGCAAATAAATACGAAGAAGCGCAGGGATTTGGCTGGGAACAATGATACACGATTTGGTTATGGCTTGTTTGAGCCATAGTTCCAAGGGGCTGGGTATAAAGGCCTTCACGGTAAGTACAGTGGTTCATGAGAGATAAATCTCTAGCTTTAAACACCCATTTCCCAGGACACCACAGTTATCGAGCAGTTTATACATCCTTGCGAGAGGCAGATATTCTTGGATATTTTAAAAATTATAAAGGTCTACCATGAAGTTGCTCAGTTTACACAATCCTTGGGACCACAGAAGAATACACCTGGCGAACTTCCAGGTATGTCTAATAACATAAAATGTCCTGTTCTATACAAGCTCTTAAAACTTTTGCGGTAGATCTTTCGCATGGCTATTACTTGATAAACTTGGCCAAGGGCATCGAGATTGCTCTCGAGGAGTACTATGCTGAGATCAATAGCCTGGAGCAGTATTGCTCCGAGAACGAGCGCACTTCGCTCTCATATGTCTACAATGCTCTGCAACTCAAGTTGCCCGTTCTGGTTTTTCTGAGGAACCTCATCATGGAGATCCAGGTGCGAAAACTGCAAGGATGCGCCATGCTCCACAACCTCCATCAGCAGTCTGAGCACGGAGACCTTCAACTGGAAAGAGTGATCAGGAAGCAAGTTTACATTCGTATCTTTCTTTTTATAGTCCTAACTGTATGCCTCTTTCAGAATTATGAAGCCTGTTAAGTACGCATTTTTCTCGAGCCTAGCTCACTGGCTTTTGTTTGGGGTGATTGACGATGTCCACTCGGAATTCTTCATTAAATTCACGCCAAACGATTCGACTGATAGTAGCTCATGCAGCAAATCAGCTAGTAGCTCTGTAATGGTAGGGACATTGTTATATTAATGTTATGCTTTTATTACACTTTTCATTGCCAGAGTGCCGACAAAACCCCCGAGGACTATATATGGCAGTATGAGATCAATATGGATCAGCTGCCAGGATTTCTCTCAATCATTGTGGCTGAGAAAGTGCTGTTTGTGGGACAAACTGTGCTGGTCTTCAAAATGCGGCGAAACGGTACAGCTAAAAGCAAAACAGACCAATTGGCAGTGAAGCTGGCTGAATTGTCGCGGGATGATATCTACGAGCTGTGGAACGGCAGAGAATCCGAGTTCTTTAAAATGGTTTTAGACCTGAGCAATGATGAAACAATAAATGTCTTCCGCATCGAACATGTTATAAACGATATCAAGAAATACGTTAGCATGCGACTCTCGGAAATAGCTGTTAACGAGGTGGATCTAGAAAGCCAAATGGGACTCATCAAGGACTTCTATTTGTTGGGCCGAGGAGAGTTTTACTTGGAGTTCTGCTGCCAAATGATCGGAACCATGGAAACGTATCGTGAAGAGAGATTTAAAAACATCACCAGATCATTTGAGGTAGTGCAAATTCTATGCTTGGTATAAACATGTATTGCAATTTGGCACTATTTAAAAATTCCAGCTTGCAGCCACCGTCATGGGAATCTCAGATGACTTGGATCACTTTTCACTTAGTTGCCAAAGGAGCACTGGTGAGCCAGATGAAAGTTCGGATTTTCATATCTTGCAGGGTCTTAACCTGAAATACTCTTATGAGTGGCCGTTGAATCTGTTGTTTTCGCCTAAGGCAATCGAGCGATATAACAAGATATTTCGATTCCTACTGATTATAAGAACTTTTCAGTACGAAATACAAAGAGTCTGGGCCAAGCAGACTTGGAAGGCAAAAAGTCTGCCAGCACCTTTGGATAACAAAATCATAAATCTTCGCAATCATATTATGTTCTTCCTGAACAACATGCAGTACTACATTCAAGTGGATGTTCTTGAAAGTGAGTTTTCTGAATTATAATACCATGCTGCCCATTAACTACTTAAATTTGTTACAGGCCAATTTAGTGTTTTTATGAATGTAATTAAAAGCAAGGCTGATTTTGAGGAAATACAAAGAGCTCATACCATATTTCTGGCAAATGTTCTTTCACAATGCTTCTTGCTTTCCGATTCGAAGAAGGGCCATGCTAATATCACCGGATGCCAAACCCAAAACCCCATTTATGGAACACTTCTAAAACTCTTCAGTATTTGTGACAAGTTTGCTCACATAACCCAAACAAAAGATCCGCCTGATGACTTTATGGGGGAAATCGACAGTCTTAATGAAAGGTAGGTCATGAGCTGTTGTTAAACTTTTGAAATATAGGTCTAAAAAAGAATTATTTTAATTTTAGAAGGCTTTATGTCAATCATTAATACATATATTTCTCCAATTATTGCAAGTAATAATAATAAAACTTTGTTTTTTTTACAGATTTGGCGTTCAAATTGCGAGCCTTATCCAACTATTAGTTGATGTTAAGTCAGCATCTTGCTTGGGTCCGCTTTCTCAACTCCTTTTGCGACTGGATTTTAATCATTGGTTTAGCGGGAAACAAAATGTGTCGGCATCTAGCAAATAAATGAATGATGTGCCTAAAGCTGTAATCGTTTGATATCTTCTATACGAAAGTCGTTCCTGAAAATTATAAATAGCATTTGAGAAGTTGTGGTATCTTAAATAGTCTTCACTGTTACCTTAGGGTTAAAAATGTGCGAACTTCGTTGGGCGTTAAGTGCCAAGATGACATTTCTTTGTTATTCTCGGGATTCCAGTACTCGGATAGCTCCGAAATCTTATCCAGATTAAGAAGAGTTGCAATTTGGGAGATCCGTGTCATTTTGTCTCTCACCGACCAGGATGTGGCTCCTGTTAGATAACTGCCCAAGGCACGGACTTCCTGATCAAGCACCAGACCACCGAGCTATTATGGGGAATATAGGAATAATAATAATGTAGGTTAACAGTGCTAACAAGGCGTTTGAAAAACGTACCCTGTTAAAGGTAATTTTTTTAATAGCCCGTTCCAATTGCATGGTTACTTCGGTTGCAAGAATGCTGACCAGAGCATCGTAGTTTCGCGGACTCAATGAGTTCTTGAAGGAGTTCAGAAGCCCATCCAACTGAACTATGAAAAACTGAACAAACGTTTCTCCAGCCTCGTAAGCAGCGAGTTCCTCCTATAACGAAAATTGATATGAGCATTCATACAGTCCCTGCAGTGACAGCCTTACCTCATTTAAATTATGGCTGTAATTTAAGAACTGATTAATCCAGGGATTGAGTCGTGGCTTTATAACACTGGATCTAAGCTGCTGCATTCCGAAATCAACCGTGGCTTTCAACGCATCCCGCACAGCTTTGAGTTCTGTGAGGCAGCTGTCCAGCAATTGACGCTCCACTGGCGTCGTTTGGGGAAATGTGCCAGCAATTTCCTGTTCCATAGTCTGCCACAGTGTCTCAATATACTCTGTCGATACGTCGGCATTGTTCAACTGCACCAAGAAATTGGCTCGTCCTCGATCGGCATCGCTGGAATGTAGTTTTCCCTGCTGCAGGGTCGTTTGAATAGCATTGTATGCCTGGGCCAAGTCGATGTAGCCCGACGGATAACCGCTTTTCAAGGGGGCTTTAAGTGCAGACACAAAATCGCCGTCTAGGCAGGCAGCCACGTTGTTGATCACAGCGCAGGTTCCGTTTATCGACTGAGTTGTTAAAGCCCTTCGAATGGATTTGCGAAGAATGAAGAAGACATCGTCCACCATGGACGAGCATTGCTGTCCAGATTCGAAAGTATCCAGACCGATTGCTTTAAGAACGCTCTCCTCCATGAAATATCTAAAAGATTGATTACATTAAAAGCACTTTAAGAATCACTTCCAAAACACACCTTTCCAGAAGCAAATAGGTGCTAAGAATTTCTTGCATTTGACGGCGCAAGTCAGAGTTTTTCATGATTTTTTCATAGCGTTCCAATATATCCGCCTGCTCTTTTTCTGGCACACACGTCTCTACGTGAACCTGCAATATGAAGAATTAGGTGATGACTACATAAGATGATTTTCCTCATGCCTGCAAGCGTCGTCGCATAAAGCGGAAGTACAACTCGACTCTGGCGTGCATCACAGTTATTTCAGCAATAATGGCATCGATTTCCTTCGGGTTCAATTTGTCCACCGATCCGCCAGATGGCTTCCGATAATGTCCTAGTGCCTGAATACTGTTGCTCCCGACATTTCCCCCAGCCGAACGCTGGGTGGATTCGTTAACTTGCTTGCTGCGGTACTGAATCTGCCGGTTTTTGTTAAACTCCATCAAGAGGTTCTTTACCTCAGCATCGCATTCGTGCTGCAGAATAGCCACCATGTCAATCAGAGACGAACAACTGTGGGATAGTCATATAAAATGGAAGAGTTTGTTCAGTTGTATCTATGCAACCTACGCTTGTCCGTAAAATGCTTCGATTATCGGCTGATTGACCTCTACCACCCGCGCAAAGTTCTCTAAAATGGCAGTCAAACGATCTGCGTAGGCCAGTTGTAGGCGTGACTCAGCCTTGGCTATGTCCTGGGCATTCCGCAGTTCCTTTTGCGCCTTGTTCGCCAGCTTCTGGCAAATGTAGACGGAGAACTTTTCGATGCCGATGCGATGGCAACCGACAAGTGGAAAGATTTTGAAGAACCTCTCGACAGAGGCCAAATCATCGGCTTTGACCGCCTCATCGAAGCGCTTGGCAATAAGGACGCGTGTTTTCTCTGTGGCATCCTCCAGTGTCTTGACCGCATCGCTCACCGACGTTATGGAGCCCTGAACATCATCGGCCGTGCGCCGCAGAAGTTGCTGATCCATCGCGAGGAAACGGGCAATGTGGGTGGCGCTCTTTTCGTAGTCCTCCTCGCTAATGGCCTTGACAACGCCCTGGCTGCACAGGTGCAAGTCTATCAGGTCGTGCACCCGCTGCTGGCACTCGGAGGCCCGGCACCTGGCCAAATCCAGGCGGCGCACCTTGGCACTCACGGATTCCGCCAGCTGGGCTGTGTTTACAATCTGGTCGTTTAGCTTGTTGGAATCGCTGTCCACCGTGTGCAGCAGGGCCAGGGATCTCCCAATGCCACTCATTTTGGCCTCTATCTGGCACTGCTTGGCCAGCAGGGACTCAAGCTTCTCGTTGACTTTCGCCTGGAACAGGGTGAAAACATGAAAACCAACCGGAACATTATTGACTTGGCACGCACCTCCTCTTCGGCAATTCGCTGCAGTGCTTCGTCCACCTGTCCATTTGTGTCGATGTCCAGTGCGCCCAGCTGCCCGAGAACACTCATCCTGTTATCGTCGGTCCGGGTTTCCGGATCTATTTTATGTATTACCCTATTTTATACAATTGGCTGAATAATCTGATACGTGGAAAAATAAATTGTTTTGCCCTCAATAGCGATGGGACACTTGTGGTTCTGGGACAATATGTATCGGAATGCAGTATATCGATAATTTGAAGCGGCTGGCAACGCTGTTTAGTGAAAGAAGTTACTAGGGTTATTCCAGCATCAGCTGTTTAAGGCGCATAACAAATTTGTTTTATTTTTTAAAGCTTACAGTAGTAAAAATACAGCTCTACAAAAATTGTAAAGCCGTCTTTGCTTTTCTGTTTGTTAAATAACCATGCAAGTGATATACATCTATTTTAATTCCCGCCGTGAAAAAAATTATATGTCATTGGACCAAACTTTCTTTTAATTTAAAATTAAAGAAATCTTTTAACTTATTGATAAATGAAAATGTACCTGATTTTAAAAGCCTAGGCAAGTTTTTAAAAGTACGAATAAACTTTAATAGAGCACGGGCACTCTTGGTTTCACAGCTGATGCAAAATTCAAAGCCCAACAAAAGTATTGATTTGCAATAACCGTAGAATTAGCTTAGCGTAGCATTCCGATAGATAAGCGTAGGCGTAGTAATGGATTTCACGGGCTTTGAAGTGCGCAAGGTGGGTTGATTGGCTGGTGAAGATCAAGTGGAAACCAGGGTACATCCTTCCTTATCCTTTCCAGTGCCCACCGACTGCCATGTACATTCCTAACTTCATCACTTCCGAGGAGGAGCAGCGCATCCTGAGCCACATCGAGCGGACTCCGAAGCCCCGATGGACGCAGCTGCTCAACCGCCGGCTGGTCAACTACGGCGGTGTGCCGCATCCCAACGGGATGATTGCCGAGGAGATTCCCGAGTGGCTGCAGAGCTATGTGGACAAGGTGAACAACCTGGGTGTGTTCGAGTCGCAGAACGCCAATCATGTCCTGGTCAACGAGTATCTACCGGGCCAGGGCATTCTACCGCACACGGACGGACCTCTATTCTTCCCCATCATCTCGACCATCTCTTGTGGGGCCCACACCGTGTTGGAGTTTGCCAAGCGGGAGGATAACTCCGCGGAACCAGAAGCTGGCGAGGATCAGTCGCCGGCGCCCCGGGAGGTGCGCTTTAAGCTGCTCCTGGAGCCGCGCAGCCTGCTTATCCTGAAGGACACGCTATACAGCGACTACCTACACGCTATTGCCGAGACCAGCGAGGATGTGCTCTGCGACCGCATCTGCAACTACGATCTGTGCGAGAACACCTACAAGATCGGCGACCACCTGGTCCGTCGATCGCCCCGCATCTCCCTCACCATCCGCAACGTTCCCAAGACCAGCAAGATGAAGCTCAAGTTCTGCTAGGCCCACTCCGCACTTGCATAGATGTTGTTTGCCATTGAATACAGATTACACAGATGTTGACTAACCGCACGTTAAACGAACCCACTGAAGGGATCCATGGGGTCCAAGGACTAGGATATTCCGCCACCTGAATCTTCCGCTAGATGTTTAAGCACTCGCACTAGCACACTAGCTCGCAAGCAATCAACGTTGGCCCACACAAAAGTGCTTTATTTATACCGTTGGCATTGTGTACATATATAAAAATGTTTGTATTACGTATTACGGAGCAATAAGTTGGCCCGATCGGCGAACAGGCTCGAGCCGTATCCTTGGATTCCACCTGAACGCCGGCGGCTTTTAGATTTAGTTACGCGAGCAATTGATGGGAGCAATACGTGGTCTAGATTTGTTAAATATGAAGTTAACTATATTCGTATTTTGTCAACTAATTTTGATTACGAAGTGCTAGAAGTTTTCAAGATTTCATAGAAATCTAGTTGATCTAAGCACGAAATTCAAGAAATTGCTATCTTAAGATTAGGGCAGACTGATAAGATATTTTCTTCAAATTATCCAACATGATTGCTTTAATTTATCATACATTTTCTTCAAAAGAACATTGTACACAAATGGTTTGTCAGTCTGGTGTCTAAGGAAATTCAATTAATATTCGACTGACGAAAGCAAATCATAATGATTATCAGTTGACGAAATACCACTTATATGTATGTTGAATGGAGCACACGCAGCACATCGAGTTCCATATTCGTTTGCTCCATGCTCCGGGCTCCCGGGTCCAAGTGTATTTTTGTAACCGTTTTTTCCACCGCGCACCGCAAAAAGAGCGAAGAGTTGCCAATAAACGTTACTGTCCACCCACTGATCCTGTAATCCCTCTCATCCGTTAGGCCTCCGCCTCCTGCCACTCCAGCCGGAACTCCCGCTCGAAGACCAGGCGGTCGTAGAGCCTCACTTCGCTGATCCGCGCCGAGATGTCCAGCCGCAATTCGCTAACAGCCAGGTGGAAGTTCTGGCGCACAGTCCGCTGCTTGTCCGGCGTCAACTGGTTGAGCGGTTTCCGGAAGATGCTTATTATGCGTTGCAGATGATACTCCACGCTGGCACAGCGACCGATGCAGACCCACAGGTTCTCCGGATCGTGTATGTTGCCTGGGAAACGGGTGCGCTGATCGAAGGGCGCCTTCCCGGATAGCAAGGCTCTCACCTCGGCCACGATCTCCTGATGCGTCTTCAGATCCCGAGTGCTGAGTGTGGTGAACTCGTACTTGTCGCAGAAGTACATCAGCTCGGAGATGGCCACCCAGGCCTGGGAGCAGAGTGTGGCGTGGTGATTGGACCAGTTGGAGTAGCCAGCCGGACTGGAGGACTTGGTAGTCGCAGCAGCAGTGGTGGCGGATGAGGAACTGGCATTGGGGGTCGGAGAAGTGCTTGGGGGACTTCCTGTCTTGGGTTTGGGCGCATCCAAGCCATTTGTGGACTTTCTCTCCGTGCGCTGCAGCTGCTCCATTTCCCGCTCGTGCTCCTTGGCCCTCAAATAGGCCTCTTTCTTCTGCTGCAGCTCCTGCAACTTGGTCAACTTCGGAGGTGAATAGGACCTTGTGAAGATCGAGGACGGAGCCGGCGGATGAGCAGCCGGCTCGCCATCTGTGTGAGCAACAGAAGACCCGTTCGTGTCCAGCGATGCACTGCGTCCGTACTTGGCCCGATAGCGCTCCAGCGTGTCCAGCGAGAAGCTGAGCTCCTTCTTGATGGCCCTCTGCATGGTTTGGTTTTCTGGCTTTATGTAATCACCTTGGGTGTTTCGGTGCTTCGAAATGCACGCGTTCCCTTCGAGAATTTACAAGCGAATGCGAGCGAACATTCCGCTTGAAGAGAGACCGATCTCTTTATTTTTATCTTTTATCAATCGGTGGCGAGCCATGTGCACTTTATTTCGGTCTCTGCCAATACATTTTGATTCGCACACACATGCGTATGGATATGTTTGGATTTGAAGCACCATTTGCAAGACCCACAGATGCAGATACGAAAATACCGAACGCACATTTTGAGGAACTCATGCCGAAATGACCGAAATGTTAAATAGGTTTAAATGGGCTCAAGGTTGTGATCAACTCAGGGATTTGAAAGTCCTTTTGCCACAGAAATTTAAAATAGTTTTTTAATTGTATGTACTTATCAGAATTTTGCGAACCCATTCATTAAAATTCATTTTGGAGTACAGTTAATCAAAGGTAAAAAAAAGAAATTTGGAATTAGTAATAAAAGATCCCTTAGATCTTCAGGCTATCACCGCTCTTCAAGTACAAAGTTTACAATTTTTATTTTGTATATTATTTAAATAATATGTATTAATTGCAAATGGCACACATATGTTTGTGAATTTTGTTTTAAGTACAAACTTTTGTTTCGCTGATCATTACAAAAGGTTTTTGTGTGCTGTGAATCATATTTGAAGAAATGCACAGAGTACATTTAATACTTTCGTTATGTTGCCTGCCAGCTCAACCGGCGGAGGTGGTCCTCTCACATGGATGGTAAATAAATATCGCCTTAACACATACGTAATAGAAAAATGTACAAAATTATAATCAAATTGTCGATTAAACACACAGAACAGATAGTACTAACTAGAAGACGTTTTAAAAACTACAAAGCGAGTGTTAGCGGAAGGCACGGTATACACAGAGTTGACTTGTCCGGTTGGACAAACGGGTCACAAGTAGAAAAAAAGGGCTGGTGCGCCCTGTATTATAACTAGGTTCCATAATTTACAAGACACTTGGGGAGGAAAGAAGCTCCCCCTAAACGCAATACGCCGCTGGCACCTCGAAGATGATATTGCCTTCTTTGTGATGGAAGTTGGGAATCTCCACATTAGACGCCGCCTCCACCGTAATAGTGCGGGCCTTGTCCTCCAGGCGGCAGGCAATATTATTGCTTACGTTCACACGTAACTCGGTTCCGGTGAGGCTGGAAAGGATTCATTTTGAAATCTGCACTTTCGAGTCTGTGGACTTTTACTCACTCATGGTACTTCTTGCAGACAATGCCCACCAGCTCGCCAATGCGATCTTCCTTGAGGGGAGTGTACTCTCCCTGCAGGGAGAACACCAGATCCTTGTTCTTGGGAGAGTGGAAGACGATCAGTTGATCTCGGCCAGGTGTTACGCTTATGGAAGTCAACTGTAATAAAAGAATTGGAGTGAGTTGATTTCAACGAGTAGATAAATGTGGAGGTACACTTTTATATAAAGTTTAAAAACCACTCTGGTTAAATTTTCGAATATTTTGAAATACTATAAAAAACTATGGTCATTAGATACAAGCTTCAGAACAAATTTTCCTTATAACTATCATACTACACTTTTGAAGCATTAGGAACTTTTTAAGTAGGTGAAGAAAGTACAATAGATTTGACAACGAGAAAAAACTTCATAGGAACAATATGCCTTTAATCAAAAACTATTTGACCGCATATTTTTGTATATTCTAATATGCATATTATAATTCTAATATACCGATAACAACATCTGTTATAAGGGCTTTAAAGTTTAAGCTGTAGGAAAGTTAAACCAAAAATGACATATATTGTTAATCAGGAATGATAATATTTTGTACCCACCTCCCTAATTCCAATGTGGCGCTTCATATCCTTGAACTTCTTCTTGACGCCTTCCAGTTTGTAGATGGTCGAGTCGGTGACAATGAAGGCTCGGTCCGACTGTTTGTTGTGATGGTTGAACTTCTTGGCAAAGGCGGAGAAGAGCACTTGTCGGAAGGACTCCGCGCCGGCGACTCCTGCCAGGTTGTTCCTTATATTTCGCACGCTGGTGTTGTAGGCTTCGTAACCGCTGTTGTCCAGCGAGTTGGCCAGGTAGTCGCCCACCCAGCGGCGCGTTTGACCCCAGTATGGTCGTCTTCCGGCCAGAGCGGTGGCGGCGATGATCTGGAGCCGCAACTGGGGCCACTCGTTGCGAGGATACTTGCGCAGGATCATGCAGGCGCGCCAGAAGTCGAAGACTCGGTGCAATTTGGCCTCCGCCTTTCGTCCGGCGAGAGGGGGCTGTGGCCACTGGATGCTCTTGCCGTAGTCCCGCATCTGCTTGGCGTTCCGGAAGCGGTTGGCCAGCTCCTGGACATAGCTGCGCAGCTTGTAGGTCTTGTAGGCCCTCATGATCGTAATGGCCGCCTTCATCTTCTTGAAGTTCCTCCTCACAATCCATCCGCGCACCTGCTTCTGCAGCAGGGTCACGATGTTCGGGATCATCTCGTTCCGCTGCTGCTCCAGAGCAAACAGGGTGCGCGGCGAGCGGATGAAGATCTTTGTGTGGCCGTACTTCACATCCTGCGCGAAGCCCTTCTCCTCAATCAGCACCCGAACTCCATCCCGATCGCTTCCTGCCCGGAAATTGGGCCACGTGTACTGCGAGATCATCTTATAGCGCAGCAGGAACTTGTCGTAGCGCTGGCGATGCACGAATCCGGCTCGACGGACACGCAAGTTCTCCAGGAGACCGAGGTACCGCACCTGGTGCTCCACACGCTCCTCATCGAAAACAGTGGAGCTCTTGATGTCATTGGGCTTGATGCAGCGCACGTAGAAGGGCTCCTTCTTCAGCAGAGTCACCACAAGATCGGCCATGGATCGCTGGAACAGAGTGCCGGCTGTCAGTGGCCTCTTGGTGGTTTTCTTGATGTCCTGGGCTCCCTCGGGCCACATCTCACTGAGGTTGGCATCCTTGGAGTTGTGCAGCAGGCGCTTAAAGTCCTGGTACAGCGTATCCTTGTTTTTCTCGATGAACCCGTTGATGTTGTAGATCACATCGCCGGCATAGTGGGTGATGCGGAAATCCTGGCGATGCTTCAGCTCCTTGTCCGTGGGCTTCAGCTGGCGACTCGTGTAGTGGGGATGCTTGCTGAGGTTCTTGTCCATAGCCCCCAGGAGCGTATCGTCCGTCACATTGCCCACGCTGAGGCAGGCCTCGTCCATGATGGCAATAATGCCCTTGTGTGGTTGCTCGACGAGATCGCAAATGATCTGGAATGAAGGGAAAACACTCCTGGTTTAAAAATACATCCCATATCCATATTAAGCTGGAACTCACCTTGTTGTTGAAGTAGTCAATATTGGTCCATTCGATGCCCTCCCGCTGGTATTCCTCCTGCTCCTGCTTCAGCACCAGTTCTGTAAGGGATTAGCCTTGTGGTCAGGACATTCCACCAGTTAAACATATCTATCACTCACCTATGAATAACTGCTGCAGCTTCTCGTTGCAGTAGTTGATGCAGAACTGCTCAAAGCTGTTGGAGTCGAAGATCTCGAAGCCGTAGATGTCTAGCACTCCGATGACCGAGTTGAACCTCGCCTGCGTTTTGCTGCCCCGGAAGAGGATAGCCCGGTTGATGCGGGAGATGATCCAGGTGAAGAGCCGGTCGTAGATGGCCTTTGCCAAGGCATCCTTTCCGTACTCCGCCTGCGTGGCGTTGTGATCCTTCTGCATCACATTTCCGCCGGCGGCGATGACCCTCTTGGTCAGTGCCGTGGAAAGCTCGGATTCGGTGACATTGAGAAGCTTGGCCGTGGACTTCAAGTGCTGCTTGTTGCTGATAACCAGCTCATCCTCAATGGCTGTAATTTATATCCATATTAATCTATATTCTTTGAAGACATAAATTCCCTTTCATTACTCACTTTGGAACTCCACATTTCCCAGATGCAGGACGGCAGCAATCGTCCGCCAAATGGTCTGCACCTCGTCCGTGGAGAAGCCCAGGGTTTTGAAGGCGTTGCAGGTGCCCTTGTAGTCGGACTTCTCCGTCAGGATGTCCATGCTGCCCTGGTTCAAGTAGTGGTA